TTTTTTTTTTTTTTTTTTTTTTTTTTTTTTTTTTTTTTTTTTTTTTTCATCTTTCTTGCACTTTTGACCGTCTATACATTCAACTACGAAGAAAAAAAAAAAAAAAAGTGTTAACGGCAACGTGTACCGTAATCGATGCTAACTACGTACTCATCGGCATTCGCATTATGCGTATCGCACGATCGCACATCATTCGCACCGACGTGCATCGGATTTTCGTTAATTCATTAAGCCCTAGTGATCTAGTTTCGATGCAGCGCCTCGGCCATTGCGACTCTTCCAAGACAATGATAACTCTGATGATTTTTTGTTTCCACTCTCATAGTCGCTGGAAAGTGAAACACGCCTTTGCTCAACCAAGCCCTGGCACAGGAAAGGCGTGCGAGGGCACACTCGATGGCACGTAGAGACTTGACACCCGAGGGTCTCGTCATCATCGTCGTCGTCGTTGTCGTAGATGGTCAGACTTTTGTAACATCACAACCAACGGAGACATACATCAGCCCGAGTCCAAACGACGCGGCGCATCTCGTTTCCCTCCCCGGCGGGACTGTCGCGACGATGATAATCGAGATACGAGAGGGTATAGCGGGGAGAGAGAACGAGTTGTCAACGACGACGCGTACTGGAGATCGCAGGGGTAAGCGGCGGCGGCTGCGTTCACCAGAAGAGATCGTGGCTTCCGAGTCTGGTTGCTCCGGGTTGCCAGAGGCTAGCTGGCGCACCCGGAGCCGCGCTTCAATCTTCGTCCACGTGATGCCGGGGACTGGCGTCGTAACCACCCACGGAGCCCGAGTTGTCGGGCGAGAAGTTCATCACGTCCGTAGGACTGAGGCTGTCCTGAGTATAGTAAAAGGAGGAGGAGTGCTCGGAGCCGCTGGGGCCCGCCCCGTTGAGCATCGGCCCGGGTGGCGAGACCGAGGCCTGCTGACCCGAGGGCCCGGCCCCTAAGCCACTGCCGCCCGGGTGGGACTGTTGCTGCTGCGAGCCGAGCTCCGACTGGATGGGCGAGAGAAAGCCGAGGCCGTCGGAACTGCCGTCCCGGCACCAGACCTGGCGCAACTCCTGGCGGCGCTGGCGCATCAGGAGCTTGTACTCGGAGATCCGCATCTTCTTGCCGTCGACGATGCAGGTGCGCTTGGGCCGTGGCCGGTACCTGTAGTCCGGGTGCTTCTCCATGTGAAGCTTCGACAGTCGGGACTGTTCCTCGTAGTACGGCTGCTTCTCCGAGTTTGACATCGCCTTCCATCGAGCACCTGTTTTGCGACAGACGCAGGAAATCGTACACAGTTGCGATTATTGTGGATGTATCATCAATTTGTGGCGTTTTGCTACGTGTATACACTTACCGAGTATTTTCGATATGTTGGAGTTGTGCATGTCGGGACAGGCCTTCAGGATCTTCCGGCGCTCGTCCTTGGCCCACACCATGAAGGCGTTCATGGGTCGCTTGATATGTGGTTTGTTTTCGCCTTCCCGTTTCTGCTGCCTCACCATTTTAGCTGGAAACAAATGCAACACACATCATACAGTTGCGCTAAATGACGATCGTATGCGAGATACGCGGCTTATACATCGGCGCATGGACTCACCTTTTTCAGCTACGTCCTCCGAGACCTTGTTGTAGGACGGATCGCGCCACACTGTAACAACACGGGCGAAGGGAGCTCGTAAAAAAAAAAAAAAAAAGTACAAAGAAAAAACAAGGGAGAAGAGAAAAGTGGTATACACTGACTGTGCGTGGAGCCGGGCGAAGAGAGAAAGTCGCGCTCGTCGGGCGCGGGCTCGTCCTTGCTCTGTTTCATCTGTCGCTGGGGTTGGGGCGAGGGTGGCATGGCGCCGGTGCTCGGGGGCGGGAGCCCGTAAATACCGTGCATGGCAAAGTGCTTGGCCGCCATCGCCGCGGCCGTCGCACTGCCCGGGGCTGCGGTCACCGGTGCCCCGCCGGCGCTTCCGCCGCTGCTGCTACCACCACCCACGCTCGTGTCTCGGTTGGAGCTGCTGTTTTCTTCTTTCAACACTTTGCCCACTGGAATTAAACATGAGGGAGGTCTTTATTGCTGTTGATTGTTCGGAAAAAAAACAAAATCGATGGGAGTCTTTAGGTCTATTTTCATGCTCACGCTACAAAGCTACAAAGTTTATTCAATTAAACTTGGAAGCGTATATAATTACATGGAGGGGGAAAACTATGCAATTACAACACGTCACGAGAGTAATGCGAGAGTATAAATTTAGCGGTAGAGGGTTTTAGCGCGAGTGTGAAACAGAGTTCTTTCAGGTGTGCCTGGTTCCAAGTAGTCACAGGCGGCTTTGGTCAGACGGAGTGCGCACGACATGAAGTTTGATGAAAATTCTGTTATTTGCCAAAAAGCTTTTTACTCGATGATAAACCAGCTACACCTTAATAAACCATTATCCTCACAAGTTTGTGTATTGTTGTATTTTTATCACATTTACAAATTAAAATTACTTTGTCGTTGTGGTAAGCAATTAAAATTCACTACCTTAACGTTATAAATGATAAAAAAGAAAAGAAAAACGTCGAAAATACTCACTGGGCGACGACAGGGAGTTGGCAAAGTGGGGCGGCAGTCCGGCGTAGGGCAAGCTAGGCAGAAAATTGCCCGGCATCGGCATGCCGGGGGGAAAGAGTTTGGGGGCCGTGGCAGCGAGGGGCTGGACTTGGTGCTGCTGTTGTTGACTGACGGCCGAGGAAGCGCCCGGGGAGTCACCGCTCGGCGACGAGCTCGACGATTTGGGCTTGCTCAGATTGAGCGGGGCGTCGGGATCCGGGGGCAGAGCCGCGGGCATAACTACGGGCGTCGACGCGCTCGATGGTGCGCCCGTCGTCGAGGGCGTCGGTGAGCGCTCCTTGTTGCCGCTGCCGTCCAGTTGACTCGACATCTGGGCTAGGTGCGACGTCGCCCAGCTCAAGTTTTCTCGGTGGTTCATCATCTGCAAGCACAAGGGGGTGCGGTTACGTAATTTTTTTACTCGTGAAAAAAAGAAAAAGAGTCAAAACTCAATTTATGGTACATTGACTTCATGGAAATTATGGTATGTATAACGCTTCGATCGCAGGAACAAGAGTCACGTGTTATCGGTGTACACGAATTTGGTTCAATATACAAACGTAGTGAGATCTGGTGCAGGGAATTGGACAATAAATAATGATCTTTCCACCGCGTGGAAATCAAATAAGAAACACAACGTAATAGCAATGCAACTCTTTTGTACGGGTATATACCAATTTAATATAATCCTAAAGCACCTACAAAGGTATGTTATTGTTATTATGATGTACATACGTTGACAATGGAGTTGATGTGTTTGTTGCCGGCAGCGGCGGAGCCAGGCTGTCCGGGCATGGACGCCGACTGAGAGGATAGGGACTGGAGGCCCCTGAGTTGCTCGAGGAAGGGCAGGTAGACGAGCGACTGCGAGCCCAGTTGGACCCTCGTCAGTTGGCTGAGCAGCTCCTGCGTCTGAGGTAGCAAGTGCTCCAGTTGGCACTCGGCCTGTAACCGCTGCTGCATCTCTAGCTGTTGCTGATGTTGTTGTTGCTGCTGCTGCTGTTGTTGTTGCTTGTTGCTCTGCGAGTCGTGGCTCAGCTGTTGACCGGCGTACGAAGCCTGCAAATGAAAGAGACCGTAGAGCTTAAGATCCGATTGTACGTAATTTTTGGTATATATTTAAAAAAATTTTTTTTTTTTTCTTTCTCATTCGTGTATGTTATGTTAAGCCCTCCGTGAATTTAGAAATTATACCCATACATATTGCTACGCAAACCTCAACCACTGTTAACCCAATAACTAACGGTAAATTAACGGCTCTTATTCTTAATTAAAAAGAGTCTTGGTACTTGAGAATAAAAGAGTTGAGTGAGAGGGGCCGTTGGGTCGTTGGCTTTTTGAAAATATTTTCGTTAATCTTTTCACAAGTTGGTCAACATTAATGAACTTAGTATCAGGCGAGTTTAAAAGCAAACGACTCACCAATGCACGTTTATACTCTACTGAAGTTGAAACATTTGTCCCAACAAATTATTACACTGTAAAAAAATTTAAATATCGTTTTCCGCAGATATACCTCCATTTTTCTACGCTGAGCCCCTATAGCACTTAAGAATCAATAAAAAAAAAAAATAATAAATAAATAAATAAAAAATAATTGCTCGAGATTCGTATGAGGTACGATTGGTGTGATGAGCACGTAAGTACACGAGTGTACGGTTACGTGTACTTGAGCCGCATGACGAATTAGCATGGGCGTACAGCTGAAAAGCAGAAACAGTGTGTGGTCTGGCCAAAATCCAGAGAGCGCAGAGTTATTTTGGACGCGTAGGTACTCGAGCAGCAGAGAGAGGAAGAGAGCCCACACTGTTGCACAATGCAACATATCATACATCAGACACGGAGTGCTTCGAGAGCCACGAGCGACGAAGCTGCTCAAGTTGAATGGCGGGGTATAGGGAAAAAAAGAAAGCAACTTTTTGATTAGCGCACGCGAAAAATAATAAACCCATCGGGGGATAGAGAGAGAGAGAGTGCACACGAGGGAGGAAGGTAGGTTTAACAATCACAAAGAAAGTTATTTCAGGTTGATCAATGCAATTAGGCACGAAGGCGCGAGGCGACGACGACGAGGCACTCTTGGCTCGGCCGACAAACGAAGAAAGCTCCCCCCGCTAAACAAAGCTCGATAAATCGCTCGCGCTACGCACATACCACTATACGTTATACACGATATACACAAACGTACTGCGCTCTACTAGTGTAGCTAACGGGCCTCTGTTACAAAATATACCGGGAGACAAATGGTTTGTTGTACACGTGCATTTGAACGCTGGCCCGCGGCGAGAGAGCTTGCACGCAATAATGCGTTGCTGAACCGGTGACGGGTATTGTCGTAACGTTGGCGCTTTGGTGGCGCGAAGGTGCGTTGAAACGGGGTGGAGTTGGCCGCAAGCTCGAGAGGTGAAATCCGAGACGCGAGCGCGTGTATGCCGTTGAAAGACGCCCGTTCGGCTTGTAACCGGACACCGGGGAAATCGCACGGTGCGGAGCGGAGATCAGTCGAGCGCTGATTTTCACGTGGAAACGAAAAAGAAATGCTCGTTGGACACGGTGGGTATAACATTGTTTCGTGGCAGCTGGCAATAACCCTTTCATTGATCACCGATTTGCCGAGAGCACGGATTGATGGCCCAAAAAACATTTTGAAGGGCGATTGCTGACAAGTGTATACATTATATACCTGTGTATCCCGGAGCTTTTCAAGGAATGGAGTTAAATAAAGAAAGAACAATTTTCAAGAAATCATCGCTTGAAAATGAAGGACAGGAGCAAAAATCGCAAAACCAAACGGAGCTTGCGGGAGTCCCGAACAATATTCACCAATTTCCAAAGAGCTTTGAAAATAAAGCGTAGCTTCGGCTTCTTCGGTGCATATAGTACGTGTACACTTTGCACGAGATTTTTTCGCGAACCCATAAGCATCAGCCCACAGGTATACAGTTCATCCGGAAGATAAAAATAATGCAGGCAGTTTTGGCGGCCCGAGGGCCAATAGAGTTTCATTATTCATTCAAGAGAGCAACAACCATACAGTCCACGTGAGGAGTACCTACTTGTGCGTATATAGAGAGGCTTCCACATAATATATACATGGGTCAGTTACGTGCACATATATACACTTAAGTATTATGTGCCGATGATATACATATACTATATACCTACGTATAGGTAACCGTGACAGTTATACCCACCGCCCACTGTGGCTAAATATACAAGCGGGCAGGCGCGATGCCAGCAGTAGCATCCGAGTTACTAGATATATCCCTTCCATTCACATCTTCTCCGTGCAACTATGGATGGTGGTGGTGATGGCACAACATCCCTGCTCTCTTCATAACGTATATGTACATTGGTGTGCAATTAACATGTATACGTGCTACGTGTAGATGCAAACTAATGTATATACATATATTTTATACTCATACCGTGGTGTGTAAGCCTATACAACATTAATACGTGGTGGAAGATGAGGCCAGCATTTTGAATATGCATCGGCGCATCGACGCCAACTGCAGTTGCCTAAACTTAGCGGCGCAATTACCGAGACGCATACGTACATACATCCATAAATACACGCACTTGGTAACCGTACTCCCTTTAATTTCTGTTAAAGGAAAAGCGGAGGGTGGGAATGGACAGAGCTTTGCAGAGAGCAAAATTAACTGATGGCAGTAGTTGTATGTTCCGGGGGCTCCCTTCCACCCCGTCGATATTCATCATGATGTTGCTTCAACCGTGACTTTTTTATTCGTAATTATAAGTTATTGTGATTTTTACAAACAGAGAAAAAAAAAGACTTTCAATTTTTCAACAGAGTTTTAACTCTACGAAGCTGAAAAAGCCAGTGGACTGGAGGATCTTTTCTCCGCTGCGTCTGCGGTTACTCGGCTGTTACTACTGATCGAAGGCTTGTGCGCTTCTCTGTACGATATTGCATTGGTTGGGGTTATACTTTGATTCCCCATTTTCATGTGTTACTTTGAAAAATCACGGAATACGATGTCAATTGAAAATGAGATGCACCAAGTACTCGACCGAGTAGGTTTCAGGAACTTTGTAGTCATGACGTTGCTATATGACTGAAAATAAAACCCACACTAACATGTGTGCAATTAAAAAAAAAAAAAAAAAAAAGAAAAAGAAAAAAAAAGCCAGTACGTACTGTAAAATCCCATCGACTGCCACAACAAGATCACCCTTTCAGAAACCCTCGCGCGTCTCCCTGATCGAGCAAAGAAAAAAAGAATCTCGCCAAAGGAAGTTCGACGCGCTAGCATCAAAATATACATATATCTCATCGAGGCGCGAGAGGGATCAGAAGGAAAAAAAAAGAAATGACAAGAATAAGTCGAGAGCAAACGAATGAGGAAAAAAGACCGCAAGTATATATAGGCGAATAATGTACAACAGACGCTCGCGCGGCATATACACACACACACACACACATATATATATATATATATACCACGCGCAGCAATAACGTTACAGGGGTATGGTACACATCTTTCTCACGAGCGCAGCAACAACCCAAACAAAGCCGACTTTGTCTTACACTCTCGCTTGTACACGATGCGAGTACGTCTGCGCGTCATCGTCATTTCCATTATACAGCCACTTGATCGAGATAACGCGCGAGTCTCGAGACTACACAGGAGAGAACAAACGCGCCCCTCCTTCAATATACACCGAGTAAGTATATATCGGAATTCATTGCAGCGTTAAATTAGAAAGACGCCTCTGAATGAGGTTGGCCTGTGCGCGCAGTGGAGCTAAGAGTGGCCACTTGAGTGGTGATACATCAGCTACTTGGATTATTACCGTGTCCAGGGTGTTTGATTTTTTTCGCTCTATTGTACAAGCTCTTGAGAAAAATTTGAGAAAAAGCTCGATTGTGACAGAATTACACCACAAGGAAACATACATATTTTGTGTATATTATAGGTACTCTCCCATCCATTAACAGCGCGTTAAATGTGCAGTTACGACTCCCGGCCGAGGGGTACTTACGTCGGGCGATACAAGTCGCTGATGTTCCGCTCGTCGATGAACACGTCTGTGCCACGGGATATTACCGCGCCCCGCGGTATAGAAAGGCTTATTCGATTCCTCGTGCACGTCTCGTACATACAGTTTCGCGAAAAAGCTCGCGTGCGCGTCGATGACAAATTTATACACCTCGCGATCGCCAAACGTTGATGCATTGATGTAATCACCCCCCGAGACGCGATGACTTATATATACATGTATATACAGTAACGCGTGTACGCGCGAAAAAAAGAATCTCGAGAGATGGGTATACCGAAAAGTGGCGTGTGTACACCAGCGAGATCGGCTCGAATAAGCCGCGTCGGAGTATAAGAGAGCAAAAGTGGAGGAGGTGCGCGTGCTCGCTGTCAGACGGATTATTGTCTCTGAGTTTTTATCCTCGCCTTGGGGGCCAGAGAGATCGAGAGGGCGGGGACGACCAACTCCCCCGGGGGGGTCGCCGGATCGAGAAGGAGGCGAGGACGCCGTCACCTCACCGACGCTGTGCGCCGTCTTTCTTTCTTTTTTTTTTTTTTTTTTTTTTTTCACTCTCCTCCTTCTTATTTTTCCGTCGTCTCTTTGCTTCTGCCCGACGCCACGACTCTTTTATATGCTCCCCGCGAAAAAAGACAGGACCCTCTTCTTTGCAATTTGTTCTATGTATTGTATGGGCCCGGGGAGATATCGCGTCAACATTTATTTGGTCTCTCTCTGCTCTTTCGCATCTCTTACATACTTTGCATGGCTCGCGACGACGTTTTTTTTTTCTTTTATACATCGCAAATCGATAGGGAGGTTTTAAGCGTCTTATGGTCAGGCTGATTTGTTACCTCTACGTTTGAGTGATACCCAAAATATTCCCGAGATACCCGTAAAAAAGCGCGAGCAGCCCAAAGCAGAATAAACTCGGGCGGTTCGTTCCGAGTGTCATTTCCGTTCCGGAAATAATTCACGCGCGACGGTGGAATTCAAGAAAAACAAAACCGCATGGCCCTCCGCAAAAGCGCGTCTCCTCTCCTCGCAACACTTTC